GCCCCTGTTGTGCCCACCCCATGGTTCTTGGCCTATTCTTCCCAGCAGCTCTTGCAATTTGATATATATATATATTTTTTTAAATTATTGGGGTGACATTGATTAACAAAATCAAATAAGTTTCAAGTGTATCATTAAACAGTGAGTCTTATATATATTGTATTGTGAGTTCACCACTCAGAGTTAGATTTCCTTCTGTCACCAAATATCTAACCCCTTTTACTCCTATCTACCTCCTCCCTCTCCCATTTCCCTCTGGTAACCACTCATCCACTGACCATGTCCATGAGTCTGTTTGTTTGTCGTGTTTATTGCTTTCAGTTTTACAACGGACTATTACTCAGCCATAAGAAAAGATGAAATACTGTCACTTGCGACAACATGAGTGGATCTTGAGATAATCATGCTAGGTGTAATGAATCAGACGGAAGTTGAAAAACCACAATACCACTCATATGTGGGATATAAAATCGAAAGCAATAATTTGACATTTTGATTTGAGGATTTTGTTAACACTGGTCTCCCCAACAAGAGCTGAAAACTCTAAGGACTGTGGCCATCTTGCTCACCCTGAGACCCAAGTGCCACTGACCTTGCCTGACACATAACAGCTCAGGAAAACACATATTTCTCTTAAGAATAATAGTGTTTTGGTTGGAGAACCTAACCTACTTTGTTGCCACCATTCTTCCTGAGTATCCTGACAAATTTCTTGGATATAATCAAAAGAATCCATGATGACACTACATTGCCCCTTTACCTCCCATGTATACAGTCTGAATTAAAAATCAGCATTGGGCTAGTGGAATTGTAAAATAGTACAGCTGTTGTTGAAGAAAGTGTGGTGGTTCTTCAAAAAATTAAACACAGCCACAATGCAATATACATATGACTTACTGTTGAAGTGTACACTTGAAACTTATTAGATTTTATTATCAATGTCACCACAATAAGTAAAAAAATAATTTAAAAAAATCAAACATAGAACTACCATATGATCCAGCAATTCTACTTCTGAGTATATACCTAAAAGAATTGAAAGCAGGATCTCAGATATTTCTACACACACATTAATAGCAGCATTACTCACAATAGTCAAAAGGTGGAAACAATCCAAATGTCCATTGACAGAAGAATGGAAAAACAAAATGTGATGTAATCATACAATAGAATATTATTTGGCCTTAAAAAGGAAGGAAATCCTGTCACATGCTACAACCTGGATGAACTTTGAAGACATTATGATAAGTAGATAAGCCAGTCACAAAAGCCAATCAAAAACTGTATGATGCCATTTGTATGGGGTACTGAAAGTAGTCAAATTCATAGAGACAGAAAGTAGAAGGGTGGATATCAGGACTGGGGGAAGAGGGAAGTGGGGGGCTATTGTTTAAAGAATACAGAGTTTCAGTTTAGGAAGATGAAGTTCTGGAGATGGATGGTGGTGACAGTTACATGACACTGTGAATGTGCTTAATGCCACTGAAGTGTACACTTAAATATGGTTAAGATGGTAAATCTTATGTTATATATATTTTACCACAACTTTTTAAAAATCAAATTTTAATTTTTAAAAATCAGCATGCAACATTTCTTTTAACAAATGGAGAAAAGCCCCGGGCCTCTGGAGGTTCCTCTAACCAGGACACACCACGGAACCAGGCAGCTGGGAGCTTAGACAAGGTATTTGTGTTCCGACTGATCCCTGGGATTATTAGGAAGCTGCCAGATTTTTAATCTTTTCTCTTTCCACACTGAAAAGGTCATCCAAGGGGTATCTAGTCTTAGACCAATTCCTCTTTATCAATTACTTTAAAATATCAATTCTTAAGAAACTCTCTCTCAGAGAAAAAAAATGTAGGAAGAGAAGACATACCCCGCAAACATTGGGGGACGTCTCTGTTCACCTGGCCTGCTTGGTATGTGTGGGTGCTAAGGAGAGAGAGGTGTAGGCTGGGTGTGGTTGGAGCAGGCTGGGCCCAGGGGCCTGGCGCAGGGCTGCCCCCAAGGAAGGAGCTCCTTCCGTTACTTGCACAAAGTCATCTATGTGCTGTCTGCCAGCCTCCTCCCTTGGAGATCCACTCAGTCCCTGGCCAGTGCTCCCTGCCCAGGAATGAGGTGCTAGATAGAATGGGAACCCTCCGGAGCACCCACAGGGAAGGCTTCTTGGCTCTAAACCATCTCCAGATGCTTCCAGGGATTATCGGTTATCACAATCATTGGAACCACAGGCAGCGGGGAAGCCCCTCCTGCAATGGCCCAGTCCCACCTGCTTGGCCAGGACTGCTGGAGTCACAAACCTTGTTCACGGGCTTATGGGGGCGTGGAGCCATAGCACTTCACTATGTGCTCCCCTTCCTCTCTTTTAGACAAGTGACATCTGGACACCCAAGAAATGCCTGCAGGGGATAAAAGGTGCCCAGAGGCCCAACTGCCCTGGGGGAGAGTGTTGGAAGGAAGGAGGAGGGGCCCCTACTCTGCTTTGGTCACTGAGATCTTGACAGCTGATGTGTAAGAAACTCAGGTCTTATCACGCACCTGCTAGGGTAACACCTTCTTCCCTGCAGCTTCCCTCAAAGTCAGGGCCTTCCCCAGACTCAGAAGCTCACTCAGGCAGGGCAGGGGACTATCCTGACCCTTGACGCTCTTGGAGAGCCTGCCCACCGCTGGGCCCAGCAGTTACAGGGACCAGGGCACAGAAAGTCCAATTTGCTCCTCAAACATGGCTTGAGGAAGGAGCACCCTGACTGGGGCTGCAGCGTATTGCATGATTCTGTTCATAGCCAAGTTTTCTGGGAACATGGCAGGACTTCACCAGCTGTTGAGGCGGGGGCATTTTTATGAGGCTTTCAGTTTTGCAGCTGACATCGCAGAAGAAACCCAGTTTCTGCCCCCCATTTGTTCTGTGGCCATCACTTAAACCCCTGTACCCCAGGTTCTTCTTCTGTAAACCCAAGGTATTGACCAGGTGACTGCTCAGGCTCCTGCCAACAACAACAGCTTCCAGTAGAAAGTTACAACACATGGTTCAGAATATCGCCCACACCCCAACACATGCACCTGCCCCACAAAACTGTGTATTAGGTCAGGGCCACGATATGACTTTTGAGGGCCCTAGGCATTTTTGCTTTCGTGGGCTCCTTCTTCCATTAAAAAATATTTTAAAACATTTTATAACTGTATTGGGATAAAGATGAATATATTATATTATATATTAAAAACATTTTCTTCTCTCTAAAATTTCATTTTTTCCTTCTGATTTTAAAATAAATTAAAATATTTTGGGAGGCCCTTAAGAGTATCATTTGTGAGCCCTAGATGCTATGCCTATTCTGCTTAATGGATATGTTAGCCCTGCACTGAGGGACATACTGGTAGAGGGGACAAGAAAGAGACCCAAATTGGAGGAAGAGTCGAACCTCAGTAGCCGTGTGACCTGAGTCAGTCACTCCACCTCTCTGTGCTTCAGTGCCCCACCTGGGTATAATAATAGTATCTACCCCTCAGAGTGCTTGTAAGGACTGAAATATGATCGTATATGTAAGTACCTTGATTGGATTGGTTCCTGGCACAGAGGAATCACTATAAAAGTGTTCGTTGTCATGAAAGCTGCTGTTTATTGTTGTTCTAGCTACTTAGCTGAATCTCTGTATCTTAACTAACACCCTACAAGAAAGGCAAGGTGAGCTCCCTGCTTACACAAATGTCCGACTTGGACTTTCTGGAGCAAATACAGCTATTTGAGAACTACTTTTTAAGGAAACTTTTATTTTCATAAAATTCCTTGGTGGTATTATTCATGGTGAGCCTCCAGGGAACCAGAACTTCCAGAGAGGCAGCAGCCTCCTGATCTGAACCAGCGGCGATGAATGAAGTAGATGAATGAAGCAAGAAGAAGAAGCAAGGGCTGTGACCTGCTGCCTACTTTTATCCCCCTGCTCAGCAGGTGTCAGAGCTCAGAAAATGGAATGGAAGGCTTTGAGGCCTTTTAAAATACAGAGGCCTCTGGGATAATTTAATGTCTTAATTCTTTAACAGACAAGACACACAGAAGAAGGCCTGATAGATGGGTTTTTCTAGGGGGATGTGAATGAGTATGTGCCAGGGGCTTTACATGCATTATCTCATTTAATCCCCACAACAACCCCAGATGTAGGGGTCACTGTCCCCATTTTACAAACCAGCAAACAGAGGCCACTAACTTGCCTGCCCCTACTGTGACCCCTACTTCTTCCTGCCTCCCCAGAAGAATGCTGGGACCTAAGAGAAGATCAAGAGTGGAAAGAAAGGGAAATGGAAGCTGGCCATTTTGGGTCTGTCCTGGCCAGGGTCCATCAGCTGAAAAACTCCGGGCCTCAGTTTCCCCACATGCACGAAGCGGGAATTGGCCCCATACCTCAGGCATGTTTCTGCTCTCACCCAACTCCCTGCATGGTTGGGCAGAGCAGGCGGCTGACTCCTTCCCTAGCCTTCCCATGGCATTTCTCCAGTTCCTGGAAGGGACAACCACCGACCGTGCCACCCCTCCCTGACCCCGAGAGCAGGGAAGCTCCTTTCGGAACAAGTCTGCAAGTGGACTTTGTAAGGGGCTTTTGCAAAATGGTTGTTGCTGCGTTGGAAAGCAGGCGGCTCCTCAAAACCCAGCGAGGCATGGGGCGGCTGAGTGGGAAAGCCATTTTGTGTCCAGACTCTCCCTGCTGGCTCTTACTTTTTCCAGGAGAAGAATGTTGGCAGCAGTAGGGCATGTCCTTTCTGAATATAAACAGCTTAGTCATCATCAATCAGCTCCTCTTCAGTCAAGACCCCTCTCCACTCACTTTCTTCCAGCTCTTTTCTCCTTGAAAAAATTAGTGACTATGGGAGCGAGTTGGGCTTATCCTACTGTGAGTGAGAAAATCAGGGCCCCCAAGAAGGTATGTGCCTGAGAGAACTGAACAGAACAGCAGCAGGCAGCCTTGGGGACAAGGCCCTACCAGACCAAGGGGAAGACGCAGTCCTACCTCCAAAGGCAGGCCTCATGGTGAAATCATGATCCTCCACTCTGAGAAGAGGCTGAGGCTTTCCTTTCCGGATTTTGGTCACATCGAGGTTCTTCTTATATAGGTGACTGCAAAGACAAGCAAGATATTTTTCCATTGGCCCCCAAGGCATTGAGTGAGATTATCTGGGGAGATTACTTCTTGTAAGAACTATCGGTTAGGCACCTTTTCTCCATCAGACATCAGACTGAGGGACACTCTTCCCCACCACCTCTCCCCCCAGGCCCTCACAGGCAGACAAACCAGAGAACCAGGACCTTCCAGAGCCTTCCTAATGCAAATACCTCCCAGGCAGGACACCATTTTACCTTGACAAGCTCTAAATCGTCAAAAATTATGATCGGATGACAGTTTCTGGGTTGAATGGCGGAGAATTAAAATGCGCAGTTTTTTTTTCTTTTTAAACATTTATGTTGTTATAACATTGATTTTGCGATAAATAAAACTCTGAGACAAATATAAAGTTTTAAAGTGCTGGTATTATCCTAGTCAGACCTGATGCTCCTTCTATCAGTCCAATTGGCAGCTGTCTGCAGAATTCACCCTGGTGCAGAGCTTCAACCCCCAGGAGAACAAACAATTCACAGCCAGCAGGGATCAAGGCCAAGTTGGGGACAAAGTTGCTCCAGCCACCCACGTGGAAGCTGGGGCTGGAGGACCCTAGTTCACTCTCTTTTCTCTAACCCAGATGACAAAGGAGCAATTCTCTCCTCTCCATTCACAATCACTATTTCCAGATCATTTTTTTCCCCTCACCACAACCACATGTAATCCTAAAGCAGTAAAATCCGAAATATTCTAAAGCAATATTCTACTGACAGGATTACCACTTAACAAAAAAAAAAAAAGAAAAAAGGAGGAGAGAGAGAAAGATAGGGAGAGAGAGAGGGTGGGAGGAAAGAAGAAAAAGAAAAGGGAGAGAAAAAAAGAAAGGAAAACGAGAGAGCGAGAGAGAGAAAGAGGGAAGGAAGGAAGGAAGGAAGGAAGGAAGGAAGGGCAGGTCATGTGGACATTTGGGTCTGAAAGAATGTGAGATCTAATTCTTGACAGAAAAAAGTAAATAACATTATAAGAAGTCAGTGTTACCATAATTTTTATGATGTGTAGGCTATTTAGGTTTTCAGAGGTAAACAAAGATTTTTTTTGAGTGTTTATTAATCATTTATATGCCTCTATTTTATTCCCAGTGTTCTTGTTACATTTCATTTATTTTTTTAAAAGAGCACCAAGCATATTTCCTGTTTAAACTCTGTAAGAGAAAAGTAACAGCTTTCCTCTCTTGAGTTCTTGTTCTCTGAGACATCTTCCTATGAAATCCTTCTTAATTTTCATTCTCTACCAGCTCAGCTCAGATAGTGTCATTGATGGGAGGTCTAAATCTATGCTGATCAATAAAGTAGCCATTAGCCACATGTGGCTATTTAAGTTAATTAAAATGAAATAAAATTAATATTTAGTTCTTAAGTTACACTAGCCATACTCATGTGCTCAATAGCCACATGTTTCTGGTGGCTACTATGTTCACAACTGCAAAAAGTTTTATTATTCAGTGCTGGTCTAAAGGTTGGCCTGTCCCCCTCACCCTCCTCCCACCCAAGAAGGAGATTTCCCTATAAGCTGGGGCTTCCAACCTTGTAGCCCTACTCTTAGAGCCACTTGGCCTGGCTCCAGACCTCCCAATCATTCCCCCACTTCCAGTGAGAGCTCTGCCACCGACCGTTTCTCTCCATTCATTTCCTCCTATCAATCAATCTTGCGGACGTCAATATAAATATGGTCAGTTGTCCCATACTCTGGTTACACAATTCCTCGACTCAAATTCATTTGCTAAACACATTTCTATGAGGCACACACTCTGTCCAGATACTGTTCAACTCATGGGGACAACAAACATTCACTGCCTTCACAGGGCTGATAACTTTGTGCGGGAGATAGACAGTAAACAAGTAGGCAGTTAAATAATATAACTCCGGGAAGTGCTGAATGCCATAAAATATAATAAAGCAGAGTCAGGAATAAGAAAGAGATGGGTTGGAGTGGAGGATGGTCAGGGAAGCCTTCTGAGACCTGGAGTTGAGGGAGAGAGCACACCAAAAAAAGAGCTGAAGAAAGTGCATTCTGAGAGAGGGAATATAGCATGTATAAATGTTCTGAGGTGAGTCTGGCTTGTGAGGAACAGTAAGAAACCAGTAGGCTAGAGAACAGCAAGGAGAAGGAATGAAGTAAGAAAGGAGGTGGGAGATAAGGTCAGGGACCAGATTATGAGACCCTCATGAGTATGAGCCTGCGTGGGGAGACGTATGGAAATTCTGAGAGAGGGAGTCAAAAGGTCTGGTTTAGGACCTGATGAGATCACTTGGCTAATGTGCAGAGAAAACTAGGAGGGCAGTGTAGAAACGGGAGACCGTTGGGAAACTTGCTGAGAGAACATGGTGCCTGGATTAGGGCAGTGGTTTGAGGTCAGGGTAGGGGGCGTGGGATAGAGAAATGTGGCCAGATCTGAAAGAGGTAGAGCTTCCACTCTCACTGGTCTCTTCCTCTTCTTGCTGACGGATTAGGTGTGGGATATGAGGGGAAGAGAGGACCCAGGTCTAGGATTTGACAGCTGGGTGAATGGTGGGGACATTTCCTGAGAAGGTAAAAACTGAGAGAGTGGCATATTTTGGGGGAGGGGGTTGCATCTAATTGGTATGAGTCATTTTGATTTCCGGATGCCTGTGAGACATTCAGGAAGAAGGTGAAAATAGGTTGGGGGCAGCCGGGAAGGCAGGAGCAGTAGCAGTGTGTTCACTTCCTTCAGGCTCGTAGGTACCTGAGCCAAGGCCCTGAGGGCTGGCTTCTCCAGACAGGGAGGACCAACTTCTACCTGAACCTTGTCTTTCAGTTCAGGACACTCGGTTTCTTCCTGCCTCTCTGACAGCCTGTTCCACTCTGTAAACGCCAGTGTCCCCAGGGCCCTGCCCCAGCCACCTTCTCCTCTCTCCTTGCACTCTCTTTGGCAGGCTGATCTATGTTGGTAGCTTCAATTGTGATTAACATGCTGACGATTGCTAAATCTATGCCCTCTGCTCCAGACCGGTATATCCAACTGTCTGATTATCCCTGCTTGAGTATCCTATAAATATTTAAACTGATCACATTCGTACTTTGGTTTAGGACATGCTGAGTTTGAGGTGACTTCGCTCAAGGAGAAGTGGGCATTAGATTGACATGGGGGAAGGGAAGAAAGGGGTGTGGCTGAAATGAACAAAATGAGGCTGCAGAGGTAAGCAGAGACCAGGCCAGCACAGCCTTAAAGATTGAGTTAAAATGTTTGTCTTTATCCAAAGGCAAAGAGAAAACACTGAAGGCTGTTGAGCAACTGGAGGAAGAAGCCATGATCAGATTTGCTTTTAGACAAGCCCATTGTAGTAACGTATCCAAGGAGAGTCCAATGTGACTTCTTCCTCCCCTTTAGCTGAGATATGGGAACGAAGTGCGCTTCCCTTGAAGCATATATGGTCACGGTCCAGGTGCTTCTAAGGAGCTTCCACTCGCACCCATCTCTTCCTCCAGAAGTCAACAGGGACCAGGTTCTCAACGCAGTGACCGCATGAGGGGCCAAGTTCAGATACCCCAGTAAAGCACCCTGGCTGGGAACGTAGAGGAAGAGCTCAGCCTCAAGGCTTAGCAGATCACGGACAAATTTTGAGGGCAGCACCTCGCTGTCCCTCTGTCTCTCAGGCAGCAAATCCCTCCCAGTCTGCAGAGTCCCCACATCCATTTAGAGGAGAGGATTAAGGAAGCAGAAGTCCTGGAGGGCCAGTACCCCAGCAAAAGCGAGGATGGAAATCCCAGTGTCTCTAATGAGAGCCCAGAATGTATTTAAGGGTCCACTTATTTAGTAACTCAAGCCACTGATATCCTGAGCCTTGGGCTATTTCAGTGAGGCAGACACCCTCGATTCATCCTCCACAGGAGCTTGGCCGGCACAGCGGGGATCCCTTGGCCCTCGGACCCGGGGCCAGCTCCAGGGGCCAGATCCCATGTCCCAGAGCTGTGGGGCCACCGGAACCTTCACGGGACCTCCAACTCAGACTCGGGAGAGGTGAGGGGTGAGAGAAAAAGGAAAATGTGCTCACCACGCCTTTGAGAAGCATTGCTATAGTAGTTTCGTGTTGACATTTATTTGGCAGCAATAATAGCAATCATAATGACCAGCCCACATAAATTGCCTCCTCACTGAACAGGCCTAGCACTGCCAAGTCACCTCATTTTCCCAGTGGGGAAGGGCTCGCCACCATCCCCTTTTGAGCTGGAGAAACGAGATTCAGAAAGATCAGGAAACTCGGCGACATGAAGGAGAACCGCAGAACCAGGGCCTAAACCTGGTTTTCCTGACTGCCTGACCCCACTTCCTTCCCGACCCCACTTCCTTCCTGGGCCCATCTAGGAAGGATGCGGGTCACTGGGTAGCAGGAGAGCAAAGCTGCTCCTGGATCCAACGCAAAACAAGGAGGATAGCCCAGGGCAGGTGGCACCAAGGGGATAGCCAATGGGAAAGGAAACATGGAAGGGGACCCCAGGCTTCTGGACCGGGGCAGAGCCCAGACTCCCAGAGCCCAAAGTTTGCTTTATTTTCAGATCTCAAGGGAGAAAGGCCTCTCTTTGGCAGGAAAGCAATCATGTGGTCAGGGGGCTGGCTTAGGCAGCAGGGCAGGGAGGAGCTGGAATAAAGCTGGGGGGCTGAGAGACAAGAACAGAACGGCACAAAGCAAACAGCTGTGAGAAAACAAACATGCTTACTAGGCAGTGATTCAATAAACAGGGATGCAAAGAGTCAGAAAACCAGAGGCAGTTTTTGAAAAAGCAGCTGGTGGGCAGAATAACAGTTTAGTGAGGGTGCCTTGGCCAGACCGAGGCAGAGAAGGTTTATGGGTTAGAAGAGGTCCTGACAGCATTTCATCTCTGTAGCATAGCTCCTTTTCTTAGAAGTTTTGTTCTCACACACACACAAATGCACACACACGGTCATACACGGACATGCCATATACCATACACCATATACCAGTCACATGCACAGTGCACATGGTCAAACTCACATACCACACACGTGATCTCATACACACAGTCACACATTCACCTGTAATGTATATGAGCACATTCACAAATACAGTCACACACATGCACACACTCACACACCATAAGAACTAAGAAAAGGAGCTATGCTACAGAGATGAAATGCTCTAAGACCATAAGAGTCAGTAATTTTATTCCTGTTTATTAGTATAGCTTAACTCTTGCATGTCAATAAAGGAAGTAGTTTTTTAGTCAGAGGCTTGGCTGAAATTTTTCACAGAACGGCACAGCTCTGTGACTGTCTGACCACGTACATGCCCTGGTGGATGCAGAAGGCCTAGAACCATGTTCCCTGATGTGACATTTTCTCTATCCTTTTTCTCAGCCTCTGTTCAATAATTATTTTATATTCTTTGAATGTGTATATTCATCTTTTTCACTCACTTTAACAGCTCATGGGATGGAATTCAAGAAATTCTCCTCACTACTAAGGGTTGGATTCCATCATGCAGGTGTTTGGGAATGAAGCTGGGTCTTCTGAGGAGTGACAGAGTTGTGACAGCTCAGAGTGCCAACCGGGATCCTCAAGGATCCCTGAGGGACTTGTGCAGAACCCCAGCAACTTTCTAGGGAATAGACTGTTACAGACATTGCTTTGTCTCCAGGCTGAGTAAATCAGAAACCTGTGTTCTGATCCTGTTTAGCCACTAGCAAGCTGTGTTAATTACTCACGCCAATGTTTTGGCATCTGTAACATGAGACGGTGTTTCCCTACGCATGTTGTATGAATCCCACAAGATAGTCCCATAAAGTGTGGTAGGCTCTTGTGTTTATTTTTAGAAACACTGCTTAATTTATTCCCCTCAAGAGTCACAATATCCATTTGCATAATAACAATTCTAAAAATGCTGCTATAAAGACATCTGTTTAAAATGGTCTAAATCAGAGTTTCTCGCACTTCTTTGGCTGGGAAACCCCCTTTTGATGCTACGTTTATTCAAACAGGGAAATTGCTGGACCAGATGACCTCTGAGGTCACTTCCAGTTCAACAGCCTGTGATTCTGGCAAGATAAGCAGGATGAGTCTTCTAGAGCTGCATCGCTTTCCCATCATCCTGGATTTTTATCCATTTGCTCTCTGACCGAGTAGGATTAGGCTCTACAGAATATTTACATCTCTCAGAGCAGTAGTCTCCAAAGCCTAGGCATACACCTGCGGTGGTTAAGATGGTCCACAGGGAAGCAGGAACTAGAGATTGTAACTCTTACTTACAGTTAGTTTTTATCTAAAAATAAGGAAGCAGTCAAGCTTCAATTTAATATACATATTTATAATAGTATGCATATGTAATTTGTAATTAAATATACACATATAGTGGAGATAGTTTCAAAAATTGTCACTGATAGTGGTGTGTGATTAAAACTAGAGACCACTGACCTAGATAATGTACATTAGTTTATATTCATGATCAGTAGTTCACACAATCTTAGTAGAATGGAAAATGTGTAATATTTCACACTTGGTGTTTATATTTTAGCTGCTTGCTCTTTTCTTCATGCCGAACAGTCCTTATGTCTGTATCAGGCCTGGAATTTCAGCCTTTGTACATCAGTTCAAAACAAACTTATTAAAGAACTTTGATTTGTAATGTAATGGTTTTGAATGCAAATTCTGGGCCTAACCAGTATTTCCTGGAAATGTTTCCATTACATTATGAAATGGCATTCACTGTTGTCCACATGTACATTTCTGATAACTTAGCAAATTTCAAATACCTTTTCCAAGATTCAAAACAGTAAAATAAATTCAATACCATTAGAAAGTGATGTCCAATCAAATAATTTAAAGACAACTGCCAGCTACATTTTTAGTAGTTGAGGCTAAATTCCCATATATATTTCCCCCCAAAAATACTTGAATGTAATTACTTAGCAGGCCATTTATGGTACCTATAGGATGTAATCCTTAGATACAAAGCAGCACAGTCTGAGAAATACAAAAATGTTTTACCTACTAAGTTTTCAATCACCTGCCTTAAATCAAAATGCTTTGGCTGAACACAGACTTCATAATGAAAAGCTCAACCCAGTCTAGCTTTGCTCTCACTGCTTGTGACACAATAGAATACTTGTGCCCAGTGAGAGGCTGCTGCAAGTGCCATCCCTCCCCTCTCAGCCATGACTTTACCTTGGCTTGGGCATTTCCAGCTGCCCTGTCCATCTCCTCTTCTTGGGCTTTCTGCTCTCCACAAGAACCATCAGGCAAAACAAGAACAAAATGAGTCTTGTAAAATAAGGCATTTTGTGAATGTCTATGATGCCAGAAGCTGCTTTCCAGTAACCAGCAGTGGGAAAAATCTCCCTGGGCTTAACCATTGATTCAGTCTGCTGCCTCGTGACAGTGCTTCTTGGAAGGGCTGTGAGGGCATGCCTGGCCAGACTGATTTTCCCGATTTAATATTTGATACTGATACTTATACCATTCTACCCGCCCTACTCTCTAGGACATGACACAAACACCAAAGCTTTGCCCTCCCTGCTGCTTAGTGATTGGTTATTAGTCAACAAGTTTGTCCTCCTGTGAAACTCGGCTTCCGCTTAGTTCTAAAACAGCTTTGGCTAAAACCGTTATATAAAAAAAAAAAAAAATTAAATCTCTTGAACATGCCAGCTTTTTGCTGAGATCATTAATCCATCTCTCTGGCTACATAAAACCAGCCTGTCACATGCAGCAGGGAGTCAGCTTGGATTCTGAATGGATTTTCAGGGAAAACTTCTGGACATGGAGATGAGTGTATGAGTGTGCTCAGGAAATGCCGAGTAAACATACAAATGATCTGTTTTTACAAGGTTGCTTTATTTTCTTGATCTAAGAGACTGTGCTTTGCCTATGATCAAGGATGCTTGCTTTTCCCTTGTATACATATCAGATTTTTTTTCAATGAAAACACATCAAATCATAAAATACATTTTGATTTTGAAGGAAAGCATAAACCAAAAAAGAATTCATGATTATGTAAGATCTTCTTCCTATCACTAGCATTAGATTAACTTTGGCCTTAAATCCTAAAATGTAAATGTCAAACATTGTAAATTAGGCTTGATGTGTATCCTAAGATATGGAACTACGAACATGGGAAGTGTAAAGATACGTACGGTTATGTTTAACCTACTGAACCACTGAACCAAAAAAAAAAAAAAAAGTGTTTTAAAACTATTTCCTGCTTGCCTGCTGCATGCTGGGAATGAAGAGAAGTTTAATGTGGTAGATGCCTCCAAGATGAGGATGGAGGTCAGGAGAAGCAATAGCTAGAAGTGAAACCGAATTGGGGTTTTTAATATGTAAGAGTCAAAAGGAGCTCTTTGATCACTTAGCAAAATGAGATGACATGATTTGCTTTGTTTTTTAAGAAATTTCTAACCGGGACCAATTGGATCAGGGAAGTTATAAAAACAAAAGAGGATGAGGTCCTGCCCTAAGAGAAGAGGTAAGAGGAAGAGGACGGAAGACAGAACTTGACTGAGATAGTCAAGTTATTACTGAAGTAGAACACATCTGGTGACTGAATAGAGTAGGAAATAAGAGAAGTCAACAGTGGTATCCAGGATTCTAGTTTGGAGGTAGGTCTGGTGATGGTTCAGCCATTAATTGATATCCATTAGAGGTGGACAAGTTCAGTGGGGAGCTAAAATAAACTTTCACTTGTGGAGTTTGAGGTGCCATGGGACCTCCAGATGCCTAGTATGCAGCTGGAGTATGAGCCTGGAGCTCGGGAGAAAGGTCTGGACTGGAGAAATAGATTTTAAGACATCAGTGTATGATGGCAGTTTAACCATAGGAAAGGGAGAGAGATCTTCCAAGGACATAGAAGGGGTCCATGTCCAAGTGCAGAATCCTGGAGAAGCCATACTTTTAAAGGACAGATGGGTTGTCAGAACAAAAGCATAGAAGAACTAGCGAAGATGTTGACTATGAAAACCAAAGGAGAGTTTCAGGCAGAAAGGTGGTCAACAATTAGTGCTGCCAAGAAGCGAGGACTGAAAACAGGTTGCTGGATCTGGCAACCAAGGCCTAATTACAGTGAGTTTAATAGGAACTTGTGAGTGGGACTAATTCAATATGGGGACTCATTCGGGGGTTCCCAAACCTGGCTACTCCTCAGAATTATCCAGGCAATTTGTTTAAAAGCCCCACTCCTGCCAAAGATTTAATGGGGAAGAGGTGAGGCCTGTTGAAGTTCCTTTCCATAGATTGTTCAAAAGACCTCTTTTTCTTTCTTCCATTTAGAACAAGTCTATAAAGGACTGGCTGGAAGCCTTGAATTGTGCCAGATGTTGGTTTTCAAGAAATATTTGTTTCGTTGCATTCTAGGTGCAACTTTAGGTCCTACCAATTTTTTTAAAAACTCTTATTTTTAGTAGTTCGATTATGTGATTACAGCAGGGAGAAAGCCACAGTTGGAGATGGAATAACTTTTTTTATAACAGCTTTATTGAAATATCATTCACATACCATTAATTCACCCTTTAAAGTTTTTTAGTATATTCTAAAGTTGTGCAACTATCCCCTCTAATTTTAGAACATTTTCATCTCCAAAAGAAACTTCATACCAATTAACAGTCTCTCACTATTCCCTCCCTGCTCCCTTCAGCTCCTGACAATCACCAATTTACTTTCTTTCTCTATGGATTTGCCTATTCTGGACATTTCATAAAAATATGTGGCCTTTTGTGTCTGGCTTCCCTCACTTAGCATAATGTTTTCAAGATTTATCCAGCTGTAGCATATATCATAACTTTATTTTTATTAATAGTCCATTATATAGATATCCATTTTATCGGTTGATGGGCATTTGAGTTTCCAGTTTGGGGCTAGTAACAACAATGCTGTGAATACTCATGAACAAATTTGTATGAACATGTTCTCACTTCTCTTGCATATAAACCTGGAAAATTCCTGGGTCACATGGTAACTTTAATTTTTTGAGGACTTGTCAAACCCCTTTCCAAAGTGGCTGTACCACTTTACATTCCTACCAGCAATGAATGTAAGCTCCAATTTCTCCATATCCTCCCCAATGCTTTTTATTCTAGCCATCATAGTGGGTGTGAAGTGCATTTCCCTGACTAATGATGTTGAGCATCTCTGTGTATGTTTTTGTTCATTTATGCATCTTCTTTGTACAAATGTCTACTCAAATCCTTTGCTATTTTTAAATTAGATTAGTGAGTTATAAGATTTCTTTAAACTTTCTGGATACGTGCCTTATCAGATGTATGATCTGCAAATATTTGCTCTGATTCTGTGTTGTCCTTTCGCTAAGTGGTGATCTTTGAAAGTTTTATTCTGATGAAATGTACCTCCTTTTTCTTTGGTTGCTTGTGCTTTTGATCTTGTATCTAAGAAACCACTGCCTAACCCATGTGATGCCTAACCTATCACAAAGATATAGTTTCCTTCTAAGAGTTTTCTAGTTTTTGCTCTTACATTAAGGTCTTAGATCATTTTGAGTTAGTTTTTATATGTGGCGTGAGGCAGAGGATACGTAACTTTAACATCTCTCATTTCTTATGACAGAGGATTGGCCCCAGTGGCTCAAACTCAGAGCTGTGATAAGGCCCCAGTAGCATTTGCTGAGGTCAGATTAGGCCAGAGAACCAGGTGGGACTCTAGCCACACAGAGCCTTGTGTCCTACACATTCCTACACATTAAGTTTGGGCCTATAAGAGCAATGGAGAGATGGGATCATATCTGTGCATCAGAGAAGACTCTGGCTAGTGTCAGGAATGGGGCAAGACTGGAGATCTGTTAGAGGTTATTGCACTAATTCGGAGGAGATAATGGCTAATTAGGGTAGTGGCAATGAGTATGAAGAGAGATGGAAAGACACAAGAGAATGTTCAAAGATGTAGAATGGACAGGAGATAAGACCAGATGACATAAATAATACCACCTTTGGTCAAAACGAGGTATGAATAAAGTCACTGGTTTTATTGAGCAGCCCATACTAGTTGTGAAGACAACTGTTAGGCATTCCAAACACTTCTGAAAACTGTACAGCCTCCCACAAAGGCTTTCGTAGTACACATTTACGTACACATCATTCTTTGTCAAAAGCCAGGTTTAGTGCGTGCATTCGCCTTTCATATATTTACCTGCAAGTAATAAAACAATATAGGCTTTTCGGTACTTCAGCCTAGGTTTCTGCTCAAGTCTAAATGTACGAGGTTTGCTTGTTTATTGATTCTGGTTTATAAAAATGGGGTCTCAAAATACCAGAAAGTTTATTCATAGCTAAAAATAACAAAAAAGTTTCTTATTCTCCTGAAATAGGAAATTTTATATTTCCATAGTCAAAATAATAAACAATTTTTCAAGTTTTAAAAAATTAGTTGAGAATTTTGATGAAATTTTTATTTCAGTGGAATAAAAACAATAAGCAGCATAAAAATGTGAAGTGCTACAGAAAAGCCCCACAATACATAAAAATTGAAAGGTTTCATTTGTTTTGAACAGTTACAGGTGAAAGAGACATTATTATTTTTTCGAATACGCTATTTTAACTACCTTGGTGCGTAGGCATGTGCTAAGTTGGCCAAAGAAAAAGTCACAGAGTTACCAAAATCTGAGGACTGGGTAAAGAAGTCCTAAGCCTTTACCTACCAGATCATACATCTGTGTTGACCTTATGCTGTTGTAATTAAGGGGTTAAGGTGGGGCTTTAAAAATAATAGTTTTCTGAAGAAACCTATCAGGTGAGGTTGAAGCAAGAATGGTCTCCAAAACCAATTTTGCTCATTAACTCTACAATGGAAGTCAGATTGACAACTTAAAGATTTTTAAGTAACATATGAGCTGAAAGAGGACAAAAAAATATGTCACTTTCAGATATACGTGTCAGGTGCTAAAAAAAAAACCCCAACACAAACAAGAAGGTGGCCTGTCAGTGATGGGTGAGGAAAGAAAGGCAAATCAGAGAGAGAAGGAACTGCATAATGCAAAATCATTTTAGCCGAATCAATCAGAAAGTGTAAGTACATCCCATGGAAACATGTAACAAGATCACACAGATCCGAGGTTGGTTCATGTGTGACTGAGAGGAAGTGGAGGGAAGATTGTTCCTAGCACAAGATTAATCTCAGCATAGGTTGAGAGCACAGGGATTTCCTTCTCAAATGATGACATTACCTGGTCTTCTAGGGTCAGTGACCTCTTACTAGGAGGCCACTGATCATTGAACCAATATTTCTAATATCTTATGCTCTAAATCAAGACTTCAGAATGCATTTTCTCATGGCAATAAAGTTATAAAGTGGTAATCTATAATTTTCCTGACATATGAGGTCTCCATAAAGTCCTTGGGCTTTTTAGATTTAAAAAACTTCAGCTGTAGATATAACAGAAACAATCTGTAAACACTTTTAAAATGCTAATTTATTAAGGTTTAAGACAACTTGTATTATATAATAGTATATAATATGCTCATATTTTATCTGCAGACAGAAAACAAAAACTGGCTATCGGATGAACACAGAGATTGTGTCTGATAGTTAATAGAACTGAAGTCCTATAGTAGGAGTAAAAATTAAGTTTGCCTTTAAAATCATTTTACAAATTGTTTCTATCTTGTCCATAATTTCAGTTAGTAAAACTATGTAATAAGGACTTTATGAATACCATCCCCCAAAATATTCAAATACATTATGGACTAACTTTTGTGGACTGGTCTAGGACCTAAATGCCATTTATACATTAAGTTGTAAAAAAAAACAAAAGCAAAAACACAAAATACCTTTATATATACATTTTAGCACATAACCTAAATGTAAGATAGGGGCTGCCTGTATTTAAAAATTAAACCTACATTAACAATACTCTCAAGAGTACCTTCAATACTGCTACTGAACATGCTGAAGGCAATGTTTTCTGTGATTATGTTCTCACCAGGCATTATGATGGGAAAATTATCTACTAGAGTCTGTGGAGCTAGCTAGCACTAAGTTATATATTGATTTTGCACTGAATTTATTTCTTGGGCTTTCATTAAGTGGACAATTCCAAGTAAAGGTCTTTTTAATTTCTATCACTGTTGCTTGGGTCCGGAGCTTTTTCTATTAAAATGGTACATGAAATATTTCAACATTATGCATATTGCAGAATAATTAAACTGATAGTGATTACAAAGCTAGGCATATATACATCTCAAAAGACATACAATTCAAAGCAGACCAAACATTCAAATCTTAAGATCCTCCCACTTAACCTCTGGAATAAAATCAAATCATTTCCTGGCTTGAACTCTTCTTCCTTCCTCCCTCCCTCCCACCCTTCCTTCCTTAAAACAAAGATCTGTGGAGGATTGTTTTCTTTCTACTTAAATCTTACGTGCGTATTGGAGAGAATGGGTTAACAGCATATCAAAGTGGTTACAAAGAATTATCTCGAGTGACATCCGATAACCAAGATGTAATCTCATTTCCTCATAAATATTTGACTGAAATAGTAACTGTCATTGAAGAATGTTTAGGACTCAAAGTATGTCACAGAATGGGTAATTCCAGTATGTTTCCTGTGAATGACATTTTAAGTAAACTATTTGAGGGGATTTACTTTCCCTTTTCAACTCTTATCCCTGTATCATTCTACATAAGTAGAAACAGAGTATTCAATAAATGATATTGAATAAACTACTGATATTCACTGGAACTTAAAATACCATCTTTTATCCAAAAACTTAAAAGGGCTATACAGAAAAGTATCACAAATATACATAAGCAGCTGAGGCATGAGAAACAAGTTATTTCCCTGTAAAGCAGGTCATATAGTGAGACAAGGGACTTGACTTCCAATCCCTTAAACTAAGCAAGACACAGTCTGAATGTCTAGCTATATTTATATTGAATTTATAAGAATCAAAAAGGAATGAAGAGTAAATACAAAATAATTTTTTGTAAACAATTCTTAGATTATACCCAATGCAGAATGTTTAATGAAGCAGTTGAGTCACAGCTCTTAAGACACAAAACAATATTATAACTCAAAGTCAAATATGTACTCATTGGCCAGATATATTCGTCGGAATATGAGAGCTGCCAATGCCAAAGTCAAGATGACAATCAGTACAGCGGATCCGCCATGATCAGTGTGGTTGTCTCTTGGCTGCTGGCCCTGGATTACATCTGGTGAAGTAGATGACCTTCTTTGACTCTGCTGCTGGGCCCTGCGCTGTCGAGGACTCATGGAGGTATTCTTAGCTACAGGCTGGACAGGTTGTTGAAGGGATGCTCCCGAGGGGTTCTGGACGCCATACTAGGAATTTTTTGAGAAATTCTGTTTGAAATTGGCAAATTAAACTTATACATATACCTGTTATGTATTCAAGAGTACAAAGAAACTCAGAGCACTAAATATGACCAAAGGCAAAACTACCAAGAATTATCTGAATGCAGAGACTAATAATTCACTTTAGTAAGCCAGCAATACAACTTACTCAGATTCCTCACCAGGTGGAAGAGGAATTTACCAGTAACAAAAATAAGACAAGAACAGAGTTTATCCATATTCTCCATAGATGGCTTTCTACTCTCCCTGAGTGACAACTCGAATAGAATCTGCTAGGTATCTGGGCACCCTCTTCTTTCAGTAAAGTCAAGGAGGGAAGCATTTTGATTTCCACTTTCTGCTTGAAAATTTTGAAAATCCAAATGGCAAAAAGAACACATTTCTTTCACTATTATCTTACTATGTCAATATGCTTCTTATGCTGTATAAAATAGAGTATAGGAAATAATTTCAAACCACATGTTCTTTGCAGTAATATTGTAAAAATTAGATGTGGTTTTCAAACCAGGCTTATCTTTTCTCAATATTCTTGTCAATGAATTAAACATAAGTCTAGAAGAACCCTATAACTGTGTGTTTGAACCATGTTACTTTGTGATGTCAAGAGTTCCCTGGATATATGCTGAGAACAATTTGAAGGTAGCTATGGGAGACTCAATGTACTCTCTACTTTGGCACACTAGTTGCCCCCCCATAAAGCACTGGATGTCAATGGCTTTCTATCCTTTAAAGATTGCTCCGTCAAAGCATAACCACAGTGCGGCACCAAGTGATTTGAAATCTTATAGTTTATAGATAAGAAAGCTTTATAAAATATGAATTCCATTTTATTCAACAGACACTTTAACTCTACCCATTAAACCCAATGACTTTTAATTCTTTTATTGAAAACAAGCTTATACCGATTATATTAGTGCCAGAACACATTCTTTCAAATAAAAAAGAATGCTGTTTTATTCACAATAACTTTAAAAATTGAGCAAATATATGTGGGAAGAGACGCCCTGCCTTCTTAAGGGGAAACGGCAACATCCATAAGTCAGAGGTGGAAGTGTGTGTGTGTGTGTGTTGGGGGGGGGATGGAATTAAAGAGGGGAAAAAATTGAGCAAATATAAAACATTTTAAATAGTTCCCATTTTAGAAAATTTTGAAGAAAATTTTTAATATTTAAAGAAAAAAGAATCAAATAATGTAATTCAAATACTTTTTTAAAAAAGGTAAAAGGATAGTATTTGTGCTGGCCAATAGCTATAAACATTAGGGAAAAAACTGCTTATCTAAGTTATCGGCAGAAAAAATTATATTTTAAATCTGACATTCATCTCAGCATCAAAAGGCTTAAATAATTTTAATTTCTTAAAACTATCCCTTGGAATACTCAAATGTAGTGATCCATAACACAGCAGTAAAAAGGAGCTGCTGACTTTTACCTAAAAATAAGTTAGTGCTGATACTGAATTAGAGTTGCATGAACTTGGATTTCTAAACTCCACAGCTCTCGGAGCAATTTGATCATTAAATAAAGCAAATATACAAATCACAGCCACAGATAAGTCACATATAAATTTTTCTATTATAACCTGGAATAACCAGCATCTGTGAGGGAGTTTTGTGTTTGCTTTTTAATACAAAATGGAATGGTTTATTCAGAACCTCAATCCCTGGGAAGAGGAAAAAAATCTGATAGACTGGAAGAACATAAAACTACCATCAGTATTTTTCCCATTTCTACATAGCTAAAAAATCTGCGTCAACAAGCAACAGATGGACTAATGTTATCTGCTGTATTTAGACTGTGGGCAATCTCTCGCCCCCTCAAGGCTAAAAAAACAGCTTATCTGGGATTTAATATATATCATCTCATTGAATTTATATTACACTTGCATGTCAAGCAGCCACCCTTAGCCAAAACCAGGTTTCAGTTAACTCTGTAGTGATCAAATTATATAATCACACTCTGAAATTTGTATGCAAATGTAATTAAAAGCTTAACTCACAACTGTAGACAATTTATTGCTTGTCAGTATTTTAACCAGAATTATTATCTATGAAAGATTTATAAGTTTTATATACTTTAAAATCAAAATGAAAAATACTACTATAATAACATTATTGTTTTTGCTAATTTATTTAAACTTCTTGCTTTCTTTAATTGTATTCCTAGTATTTTTTTAAAGTGCTAATCTTAAGATTCATTTATTCAATCAACAAATATGTATTGCCACCTTCTCTATATATAAGACACTATGCCAGGCACAGAGGATACAGTGTAGTAGAAAGAGAGCCCTGATCCTTAAGGAACTTACATTCTGGGAAGTGAGATGGACAATAAGTAATTAGTTATAAAGTAAATTACAACTGGAATAAATATAACTGGAATATGCAACAGGAAGACTTGACAAATTTAAAATAGACTAAAGATAGATTTAAATATATCACAAATATTAAGAGATTGTCCTTAAAGGTGTGAAAAGATTACTATCCTCCTTTCTGTAATAGGAAATTTCTATTTCTAAAAAAATCTATTTATGAAATCTAAAAAATTGGAATTTTAAAGGTAAAAAGTTAAAACATATACTGACTAAAACAAATTCATTATATTCCTCTACAATTCATAAAATTACGTGGAGATCATGTAAAAACAATTTAACTCTCAACATACACTTTTTTCTTATAACTCCATCTCCAGTCCTCCAAGTACTTCCTTCAGAGCATCCTTTCCCTGCTTTCTCCAAACTAGTTCTCTGCCATCTCACTCTTTAAATAGGAGGCAGCCACTCAAGACTACCCAGTCCCACTTTACAGTAAGTTACTCCTGAGTAAGGGCAAATCTGTTATTTGCTCAGTTTCTATTCCAATTTTCCTGACCCTTTAAAATCCTCTATAACTAGAGGGAGAGGAGAATGATGTGGTTACTCAACCAAACCACCTGTTACCAAAAAGATCCCAAAAGGCAATTTATCTCTTATATACAGAAAGTCACTGTTATTCTCCATAATCCTAACTATTTAACAACAATCCAGTCTCATTTTCTTAATAAGTCTCTCTGATGACCTAGGCCCACCAACACTGCGACAACAGATCAGGGAACAACCAACAACAGCCATAGCACTCACTCAGTCTTTTGTTCAAAAATTATTTATTGGACACTTACTATGTGCAAGGCAGCACTATCCATCAGCACTCTTTGTGATGATAATGTTCAATATCTGTACTGTCAATATGGTAGCCATTAGCCACATGTGGCTATGGATTACTTGAAATGTAGCAAGTGGTGACTGAGTAAATGAATTTTTAATTGAATTTAATTCTGAATAATTTAAATATAAATTTTGATAGTTACATGTGGCTAGTACCTACTGTATTGGACAGAGCAGGTCTAAGGCAAATCTTTGGCTCCAAGCCTTTATTAAGTCAATGCCTACCTGTCAAAGATAGAGCACCCATTAATTAATTAATTAATTAACTTTTAGAGTGCCTATTTAGAAAGTGGCCAATATATATATATTTTATTTTATTCAGACTGTAGTGAAAAAGCGCCCAGTTGGGACCCCCGTAGTAGATGCCTCACAGCATCCCTGGCCTCACCTTTCCTTACCCTATAGCTTAACAATAGATTGTCCCCTGTGGCTTGACCCAGAGTTTGGAAATGTCCCCTGCCATAGAAAGTTGCCCTGAACTTATAATTAATGCCCTTATGCTTACTGGTCACAATCCTTCTGGTCTAGCATTCTTTCCAGACTACTCCCATCTTTGTTCCTGGGTTGCTAATGCCATTGGAAGACCATGCTGCCAGAGGAACAGCTCCATGAATCACAACAGATCCCTCCAACCCCTGGAATAATGCCCAGATTTTTCCTTAAATACCCTAAACCAGACTGAGAAGGCAAGGCAGTTTTGAAGGTGTTAACCTACTGCCTTCTCAGATCACCGATGCCCTGACAATAAATGCTTATTCTAAATAACCCAACTCCTGTGTCGTTCTACTGGCTGAGCAGCACAAGCAGCATGTGTCCTGGACTCAGTTGCCCTCTTGTTACAGTAGCACTATACTGAAACTAATTTTTCAGAGAAATCACAGAATTCTGGAGGGATGATAGAATCTAGAAATTATTTAGTCCAGCCCCATTTAACAAAAAAGAAGTCTCAGAAAGTATGAATAACTTGCTTAAGATGATACAGTAATTCATTAGAGAGCTAGGCTAGAATCCAATTGTTAGAACCAAAATATTCAGATATTTCATTTAGGGATCGCCTCCTCCTATTGCAAGTAATGATAATAATATAGATGTACGTGTATCTAAAAGATAAGAACCATACCGATGTACTGGCTGTAGCATCCTGGAATGTTGTAGGTATATTGTCCTGTAAATCATTTAGTGAAAAAGAGTGGTTTAAGTCTGACTCAGCAATAGTCTTTCCAGATGAATTGACTTCTGCCTACAAAAAAGATATACCCAAGAGTAGTGTTACAAGAGAAAATGTACAGAATAACCTACAAACAACTAAATTCCCACTCTTAGATTTATTTTAACTGCTCGTCTGATATCAACATTAATCAGTTAAGTGTTGAGCGCTCATGTGTCTATCACTATATTAGGTATTACAAAAGAGGTACAGACAATCCCTGTTCTCAAGAGGCAACTTGGTGAGAGACAGAACTAACACTCATGGTTCACAATCCACAATTGCAAAAATCTCTAAAGTTTTTTGTAATTTTCAGGCAAAGCCTAACATGTGAAGATGTTAACAGTCTTTATTCCACAGTAGCGTAAATATTTCCAGGTTTGCTGATGAAATATTAATGGATTTGATTATGGGGTTCTGCACCAGATCCTACGATAGGTGTTAATATATTTGGTGTTTTCTAAAATCTGAAATTCTGATGTATAAAACACATCTGGCCCTAAGAGTTTCAGAGAGGTGATTTAATGTGCAATAGGAACCTTCAGATGGAAGAAAATAACCGTTTATTAAGCATTTCCTCTGTCGGACATAAGAAAATAGAAGAAAAAATTTCTCCCAAGAACTGGACCCTGGAAGGACAGACAGGATGTAGAGAGGTAAAAAAGAGAGAGATTGACATTTTTTATGGAGTTTATTAAATTCCGGAAGTAATTATGTTTGGGTAAAATATATGCAGGAAAAAAAGATATGTAAGAGATATGCCAAAATATTAACAGCAGTTACTTTTTGGGGATGGGATCATACATGATTGTTATTTTCTTATTGTTTACCCATATTTTCTGTAATAGCTAAAACTCATTAAGCGCCAGAGGCAGTTCTAAATACAATATATTTAATTGAGTATTAACTTCTGTAATCCTCATAAAAATCCTACAAGGTAAGTACTATTACTATTTACAGATGAGAAAAAAAACAAAGTGATTAAGTAATATGTCTGATGTCCTACTACTAATAAGCAGCAAAGCTGGAATCTGAACCCCGGCATTGTATACCAGATTCTAAGTTTTAATCACTATATTTTAAAATGTATATATTGTGAATGTATATTAGCAGAGTTTTTTTGTTTTGTTTTGTTTTGTTTCTTTTAGGTACATTCTAACTTCTTAGCATTTGAAGAAAAGTTCGGGTTTACTTTGATCATTAATTTCTCACAGCACTTACAACTTTATTAATTCATCTAACTAGTGATGAGTTTATTTCTAATCAGTTTTTCTTTTCCTAACATAAAGCTTACTAAGGGTAATGAATTAAAGTCATGAACTTACGTGGAAAAACAGTCATGCTTTGTAATTAAGGTTGCCAAATATTTCATGAGATATATTTATACTAAAAAATTATTTCTTGTTTGTTTATCTGAAATTAAAATTTAACTGGGTATCCTGTTTAGTTTAATTTAATTTGCTTAATCTGGTAACCCTATTTGAACTATATAATATATCCTCCTGCAATTTTGTTTGGGTAAAAATTTTAAAAATAAAATTATACATTAAATGTTTTAGGGAGCTAAACATCTACCTTTTGATAAAGACATACATAATAAATTTGGATTTTTATGTATCTAGCTTGCTTTAGATGCAGTATACCTTTGTGTTTTATAAATTCGATTTTTAAAAATGTTTATTTTGTATACTATTATTTACCCTCCCTCTCCCAACAACAAATTATACCATCTCATAATATACAGATTCCACAACACAGTTTAGAAGTATATCATATTCTACTCACTTAGGTGCCTACATTTCATGATTTTTGAGGTCTCCATCAGGTAAAAGGCTACCCTGTTGTGAACTGTGTGAGACTTTTTGGCTCCGAGCAATTAATCCAAGAGTTCCACCAAGGATTTTGGTAACCACGGAATGACATGGCTAGGCTGTATGCCTAGCCATATACATGCTCTCTATATGCATCATTTCACCCAATCCTGATAATCCTATGAGCTAGGTACTATCATTATCTCCATTTTACAGATGAGGAAACCAAAGGCCTAGTAACTTGCCTGTGGTTTAGCAAGCAATAAGTGAAAAACGCTAAGATTCAAACCCAGATCTAATTCCAACATGATTTTAGCTCTTACCCACACCAGAATGTTTCCCATGGTAGGCAAGGTGCCAGAGCTTATTGTGGGCCTTATGAAATACAGGAAATGTAGAGACTTACTGAGAAAAGGGGAGAATCTAGGAAGGCTTAACATAACCAGCTGGTGAAGTATGGTTCTGTAGCACCCTGTGAGGATCTAAAGTAGGGTGGAGAAGGTTGTCTCTGTTTCTTAAGAGATGGCTTTGCAATCTATAGCCCAGAATTTGAAGGCTTATCAGCATGAAAATCACAAATTATAAATGCTTCGAAATTAGGGTGTCCACTACTTTTGCATACATAAGAATCAGCAGGTAGACTGGTATAAAGATTCCCAAGCCCATTCTTAGAGTGTCTGATTAAGTTCTAACTCAGTGGTTCTGCATAGAATCTGAAACACTGACGCTGCCTACTGTTTTACAGTGACCTTCCAGGAATCCTTAGATCCATGCGAGTGCCAGTGGGTATACATTTTGAGACATCTTGCTAGAGACTGTGAGTTCCTGGAAGACAAGAATGTGTCGTACCTGCCTGTGTAACCTCAAACCTGGAACAGTGGCAGATATATATCCAACAAATGCTGAGAGGTAATAACAAGGAATGCTGAAAGGGAAGAGTTTCCACTGACATTTCGGGCTGCTAGAAAATAACCAATTATAATTCTAATTATAGCTAAAAAGTTTTCTTCCAGCTTTTATAAGTGCAAAGTGTTGACTTTGATTTTCAGGGTCTACATTTCTAGGGGGTGGGGAAGGTGGTAGTGGTGAGCATATAATATACAGTAAAATCCTTATTATGCTTTCTTCATCAGTGAAACCAGAGCACACTTCTTAGCATGTGAATATGCATATCTGCCTTCCTCCTTTCCACAGCTGATACTGGAGATTATACTCAAGCTTTTGAGGAAAACCCTTAATGAGGAACTGATCTTTTTATTTACTTATTTATTTTTTAAAACTCTTTGCAAGTAGCTTTTTATTTTTTATTTATTTTTTAATTTTTATTTTTAATTAGAGGTGACATTCAATATTACTTTGTATTAGTTTCATGTGTACAGCATAGTGGTCATTTTTTAATTAATGTACAAAGAGACTTCCCGATTAGTCTAGAACCCATCTGACAGCATACATACTTATTACAATATTATTGGCTATATTCCCTTTGCTGTACTTCACCACTCCATGACTGTTTTGTAACTATCAATTTGTATTTCTTTGTACATTATTAGTTTTCTAATAAAAAAAAATTATTTGTAAAAACCTTAGCAATACAATTATATTGTTTTACTTTCTATCCAATTTGAAAGTAAATAAAAGAGCTACATAATTGGAATTTATTTACCAATTTAGAGTACCTTAAAACTGATTTGTCTAGCCAGTTCTTTGGCTTCTTGGTCAGCTTTGCTTGAATCACTTCCAGATTTTAAAGGCAACAGGACATCCTTCATGGTGCAGCCACATCCTTCACAACAGAAATCTTGGGATCTGGTGGGAAATAATTTTTTTTGATGGGTATAAATCAAATACTTGAGTGTTAATTCAAGGCACTCAAATTATGAATTAAATTTTTAAAAAAAAGAACACTGGATAATTCCTAATCACATTCATCTACATGTAAATTAGACAATTATGGCAATAATTATAGTTCTGAGACAAATATACAAGTTAGGTTAGTATAAAAGAAAATTCATGCCAATTATATCTCAATTTTTAAAACATCTAAAATTAAAAATAAAATGCAGGCTTAGATTCCATTATTTTCCCAATATACTAACTAAAGAAAAATAAGTTTTAGATTTATATGATGAAATATATAAATTGTCTAAGTACACTGTCCTCACGATCACACATAACAAAGCCTATGTTAAGCTTGTGAGAAAAGTCCATTATAAAGCTCAAATTATTTTTAGCAGAAACATATATAAAACAGTAAAGAAGTCAATTAAAAACAGAATTTAGAGATATTTCCAGGGAAAATACTCACAAATCCTATTCCTCTAAATAGCAGTACAACTTGAAAGACAGAAAACTTGCGAAAAATCCAAAGACTCTGAAATTTACTACTCATTATATTAAGTAGATACTCAACATAACCTGGTAACTATACTTCCCTAAGATTTCTTTTATTATGTTTTCATTTTCTCCTTTGTGTTCCAGATATAGCCAAAAGTCCCCTAAAGCTCAGGAGAGTGCGGAGGATTTATATGACTCAAAGTAAATATGTATAGTATGTAAAAATATATATTGATACACTGAACTTCCTTTTTAAAAATTATTTTACTATACTTCTAGTTCAACATAATAAAAGCCTTAGGTCTTGAAGAACATGCTATTTAAATGTATTAAGTAGCTTCGTGTAAACAAAATATATGTAAAAGTAGTATTTAGTAATTATTGATGAAATTTTTTTGTTTTACCAGAAGCAGCATTGCTACTTATACCCTCTTGAGAATCAGTTATAGTCAAATCATCTGTCTCAAAAAAGTGTCCACTTTTAACTGAGAAGTCAGATGAAACTTAAAGGAGAATGTTTATTTTGAATATGTGAGTTTATCCACAAAGATAGTAAGCTACCATGGTTAAATGCAAAACCAGGTTTTTAAAAAGCCTCTAATACAGACGAAGAGCCTAGAAGATATACACTGAGAAGTATAAAACAAAAAAACAAGTTGTTGTTTTTTTTACCTTGTCCATGAAATGTACTGGATAAAAGTATCAAGATAGAAAGCCAACATAAAAACCAAACAAAACAGATGCCATGAATCATATAAAATTTTGTGAATAGTAGCTACAAGTAAGTATATCCCCAGAACTTGGAAATAAGGTTTAAAAGAAAAGTTGTTAATGAAACCAAGGAGTCTACCAAATCTTCCAGACACTAAAATCTATTTGATTTAAAAAAACATCTGTAAACAGCCTTTTCTAGGCTGTGCTAGGGTAAGATAAACTACAATTTAATTCATATAATATGTTTGAAGGGTGGTAGGCAACAGAGTCCAGAACAGGAAAGTGATCAAAATCAAGAATTAGTCTTAGCACTCACTACTCAAAGGAGAGGATACTCTGAATCTAATAACTAATCTGGGTTATACAGACAGAATGCACCTGGAAAAACTAAGAAGGCAGTACCACTGGGAAACCACAACTTGATAAAAGAAAATCTCCTTTGCTTTATTCTAAATCATGTATTGAGCACTTGCTATGAGCCAGATATTATAGATATAAAGATGGATTCCCTATCTCCCCTAAAGGAATTTTTAATCTTGTGGAAAGTTACATATAAATAATTGTTCTAGTTCTTTGCCATCTGTAATACTGCCCCAAAGGAGACAAGTGACCAGTACTGTTTCTCAGAACTGTTTCTCTAGTTCTAAACCTAGAGAGCATGAAATCAATTCGTTAGACTTTGATCACTCCTGGGTAAATTGGTACAACTGAATTTCTAAAATAGCAAAACTAAGACTACATCTTACAGCCAAGGTAACTAACAAAGTAAGAAACAGAGCCTATCTCCTAAGGGCCATTATCCAGAAAGGTATTTGGATCTTAACAAAGAATGAAATGCAAAACTTACTTTTTGGCAAGTGCTCTTCTCTCCTCAGGTGTGTAATCTAGAGAACCTATGGCTCCCTCTCCTTTTGTTGGCATAAACCCAATGATGGCTAATAATGCTGTTCTTACTGAAACAAAAAGTAAACATCAATCTACATTGTTTTGTAAAAGGAACTGAGTTTACTCTGGAAAGAGAAAAAGACTCAGGCTTTCACTGAAGAGATAAGAGGGCTGTAGTAAAATGAAGGCCAAAATCTAGACAAGGAAAAGCATTTTTATTATTTATTCGATAATATCAAATTATTTATCAAAAACAGCTTAAATCTCAACAGGGCATTATACTTTATAATTATGACTTGATTAAAGTTACATAGGATTTATATTCACTTTAAAGTAATACTCACTACTCCATGAAGGCTGCCAAGTTTCAGGGTGATGTCCTGAGATGCTCAAACAGATTTTCTTGCCTACTTCAAATCGTCCATTAGCCTTAGGAATAAATAAGGCATTTAAAAATTATATGTGTTTAATATATTATACTTTATAAATATATTTTACATATACTTTTGAAAGATAATTTTAAAAGAATGTAATCTCTAAGAGGATACAGATTTTTGTCCTCTTATAGACACTTGATAAATATTTGTTGGATTCTGAATGACTAATAAAAGCTATTTTTAGAAGTTGTAACATCTTGAATTGTACAACTAAAATCTAAATAATTGATATATAAAGATGTCCTGATGTCCTCCTCTATGTCTAGTACAGTGCTAGGGTCTGTGAAGTATCTAATAAAGAAGACATGTAGAGACTAGGATAGAACCTAAGGACTTAGTATCACCTAACTAGATATTGGTGAGGAAGGCTCTGAGGTGGGAGTGATTATCAGAAGGATGATGTAATTTCATAAGACAGGAACACAGAGGAAGAAGATCAGTGATGATGATTTCAGTTTGGACGTGAAATCTATTTCCTTGGTGAAAGAGATATTGATGATGTCTAGCAGGCAGGAAGAAATACAGAAAAGATGATGTCAGAAGATATACACATTTTTGGTACTTAACTTCACAGAGGTGTTCATTGAAGCCATTTCATAGAAATAAAACAGTTGTAGAGTGAACTTGTAAAATATCTATACTTAGAGGAAGGGTAGGAAAGAAGAGGCGCAAAGTTAGAATATAAGCTTCTCATGGGCAGAAAATATGACTTACTCACCCATAGGGTAAATAGCATGTGTTTAATAAATATTTGTTGAATGAAGGTTGGAAAAGAGAGGAGAGTTTTCAAAAGAGAAGAAGTGAACCAGAAAGAGCAAACACTGAAAATCAGGAGGGCCGGGCTGATTCTCAGCTGCTGTGCTAAATATGACCATATTCATTAACTCCTGAAATACATCTGTACTTGCTGGTGAACAGTTGCTGCCCCAACTATCCTCTACCAGTTTCTCCATGGACCAGCCCCTCCCCCTAGACCACTTGGCTTTCCCCCATGATCTAGCAACTAAAAGAAGAGACTCCTAACACAGGAGGACCTTTGCAGGACCTTCCTCTAGCCCTACTGCCAGCTTAACAATTCTAAACATCACCTAATGTATGTTAAACAATTTCCATATGTGAGAAATCTCATGGTGTGGTTATATTTACCATATACAACCCTTTTGACAGATGAGGAAACTAAATTTCAAAGAGATTATGTAACCTGTGCATGTTGTAATGGAAATAGCGCTGGGCAGAATCCAGGTCTACTGACTCTAAAACTAATGCTCTTTCCACTACACCAAATATAGGTAAAAGTAGCAGTAATTTGGTGTGTATTGATGAATGCCTTTTGTTTCACCATCTGCTACCCCATGAGTGTCACATATTTAATTCTGATGGAACTGGATGAAGACTAAGAAGAGGCAGTGGGATTTTTCAAACTGGTCTTTGAGATTAGAGTAGTGAGCATGTGTGAAAACCAGACTGCAGCGGGCTAACCTAGAGTTAAGGATGCTTTAAAGGTTATCAAAGAGAAAAACAGGACAACAACATAAAGTGGTAAGGTTTCGTGTTTTGTTTTTGCTTTTTTCAAGGTTGGGGATAATTAAACACACTTGTAAATTAAAGAAAACGAGAGAAGGAAAGCTTAACAATTGAGAGGAATTTTCTGATGGAACACGTCCCAGGAAAGAGGAAACTGGAACGACAGTTTTCCTTCACATGGAGATAAAATGTGTGAAGACAGACAGAAATGCTAAAATATAAATAGTAATAATATAGTTAATATTTTTGAGGACTCTGTGTCACTTCTTATTCTAAGAGCTGTATGTTAAAATGAGGAAACTGAGGAACAGAGTGTCAGAAAAGTGAGAAGCCGAAGGAGATGTTATTAAGAGGTACAATAACATTAACTGTCCTTTCTTGAGTACTTACCATATGCCAGACACTATGCCTAGCACTTTGCACATATTAATTCATTGAATCCTAACAACACTATGGTAATTACACATTCATTAGCATCAATAATTCCTATAAATTATTTGGGGGAGTGAGAATTATAGTACCAAGACCTGGCTCCAAAAGGCAAAATTATAATAACGTCCCACTTTATTTCTTAATGTAAATGAGTATGTTGACCATACTTTGCAGCCACCATGAAGAGTTAAATCACAAGCATTCCAAAAAGCCAAGAACTCTTACCGTTAGGAGAATAATGCTTGGTGGTTTCATGGGATACTCTGGTGGCAGTACTATTCGTCCATGATAAACTCCTCCATCAAAATCAGAATCTGGGGGCCCTCTAACTGTGAAATGCCATTCAAAAAGGTTATCCTGAACAAAAACAATAATAAGGAATCAATAACATTAAAAAGTTTGGTTATTTTTATCAATGACTATTAGAAATGTTATTGAGTGAGAAAAATTAAATGTTTCATATTATTGCTAGAGCAGTTTCTATGCACAAAATGTCTCAAGTATAAAAGTTATAAATAAAAGCTTTCATGTCCCAAAGAGCTAAATCTTTTTTAAACAAATGCATTTAAAATGTCTGAATACATAACATAATTTTGTTAGGTATTCGTAAATAAGATTATAGATTTAATTAAGTTAGAAATTAGTCCTTGAATACTAATTAGTGATAATTATTATAGTTGATCCTTGAACACCAAGAGTTTTAGTTGTGCAGGTCCACTTATACATGGATTTTTTTCAAAAAACAGAGTACGGTAAACATATTTTCTCTCTTGTATGATTTTAATAACGTTTTTTCTCTAGCTTACTTTCTTGGAAGAAAACAGTATATAATACATATAACAAAAATATCTGTTGACTGTCTATGTTATCAGTAAGGCTTCTGGTCAAACAGTAGGCTATTAGTAGATAAGTTTTGGGGAGATTCAAGTTATACAAAGATTTTCAACTGTACAGGGGTGAGCACTGTCCAAGGGTCAACTGTATAATCAAATGATAAATATAAATTTGGATTATTTTGACAAACTTAAAATTATCCCTCATAGATGCCTAAGAGCTTTTTATAAGCGGTCAGTAATATTAATACACATGCCATCAATAACATTTTACAGTTATCAAGTACTTCAGTTTGCAAAATACTTGTGCACATATGAATACATTTTATTCTATTACCAAAAAAACCAGACTGAGCACATTTAAATACCCTCCTTTTACAAATAAGAAGACTGAAGAGATACAGATGTTTGTAAAAAAAAAAAAAAAAAAAAAAGCCCAGACTAGCTGCAGAGACTCCTCTCAATGGGCTAGGTCTTCCAAATTGTAAAGAGTATTGAGTTCTTCCCCTCCCTTCCTCATAGTCAAGACCTAAAGCAAATTTAGCATCCAAAACTCATTTTATAGAGTTCAGTCTGCTTGTCCTAAAATGCCTGATTCTGAATGGCCAATGAAATACTCAGGAAATATAGGGAGTAAAATATATTAATAAACACACCAAAGACATGTGTAATGACTCAAAGTAATGAAGAAACAACTTTAAGGAATTTGTTTAAAATATTAAAATTTATATGTAGAAGATGGAGACGGAAACTAACCTCTAAAGGCTGTGCATGGTAATGATCTGTTGGATCTTTCAATTCTGCAGCTTCTTTCATTAAACGTTTAACAGCTAAAATAAAATTCATTAGAGACATTTAAATATACTTTTCCAATTGATTAGCACAGATTTACAAACCTAATGAAAAAGTTTCTACTATAACAAAACATGTATAGAGGACTGGTTAATGGAGTAGATGGTAAAGGTTTTAATTATGGGATAACAGTAGTAATTGGAGGGAAAGGGAAAGAAATGGAAGCTAGGCATTATAAATTATATATTTAATATATAGGGAAGTCTCATAAAGACACTATTTTTATTTATATAAGTAAATACACATATAAGTACTTATATATACTTCCTATGTGGTAGCACTCAAACATTAACTCACATAATCCTCAAAACTATGCTATGAGATAGCTACTATTTTTATCCCCATTTTTGAGACAAAGAAACTTGTACAAGGTCACACAACTAGTAAATGACAGAGCTGGGATTCCAACAGAAGTAATCCAACTACCTTGTTAAGATGTCTTTATTAACAAAAGCGTGCCCTCTGGAACTCATGCTCATGAACAGTACTCTCCCACCTCCCACCCCCTATATTTTTAACTACTTGAGACTCTCCACCCACTATCTTGCATTAAGTTAATGGGACTGTCCCCAGAAGTCACTAAATCTCCACAGCCGTACTTTTCCTTTTCAAATAATTCTTCGGCTTAATTAAAATCTTCAATCCACTGACCCCACAACTTTCTTTATGCTGCCTATTCCTATATTTACCTCCCTCTTATCCACGCTCTTGGCTTTAGGAGTTCCTCTTCCATGCTCCCTTAATACAATTCAATTCTAGCTGACTCAACCCAACCATCTTCTTGGGGTCTACATCCAAAGAGCTGAGCATTACTGAAGGGTGGTAAAAAAGTCAAAGAGGCAAGCACATTGATGCCACTGTAGTTATTATCAACAACCTCCATTGGGACACAATGCCATCCAATGTTCTTATATTTCTCTTGTAAGCCCACTGGCCCACTCTCTCCAACTAGCACCCTAAGGCTATTTCACAGCTATTTACTCACTTCTCTCTCTTCTCTTCCACCTCTTTCAGTTAGTGGCACAGCCTTTTATTTCCATGATAAATGACTGTCAGCTGCCTATTACAATCTACAATCCTATCTGTATCTGTACACTTTTTCTTTCCCGATTGATTCTCCAAGGTCAATCTTTTGATCCCAACCCCTCCTACCTCAAGCTTTAGGTGCTAAGAAATGTCAGGTTACTGGTTTAGGATAGCAAAGGAGGGGTGGGGGGCGGGCAAGTGACAGGTAGCCCAAGGCTCCAGGAAACACCTGGAGTATGCACCAGGTGGACACCTAACCTAAGAGTGGGCAAAAGAGAAAAGAGGTCAGATACTGACATCTGAAAGACAGTAGGAATTACGAACGTAGGTATGAACAGGCAGAAACAACAGAAGTAAGATGTGTGGAGGCATAGGGTGGAGAGAGGTTATTTGAGAAGCAACTTCCATACAATCATACAATTTTGTATGTATCAGAACTTTTGCATAAAATTTCATTTAAATCAAGGGTTCCTAAGATAAAAAAGAAGTTAAGTCACTATCCTATTCCATACTTATTAATATTCTTTTCCATCTCCTACTCTGGACTAGGCCCCCGTAAGCAGAGATTTTGTTCAGTTGATCATCACTATTTATTATTGAGCTCATACTAGATGCTATAATTACAACCAAAATAAATTATAGTAGTTTTGGTTATCAAGGAACTTATAGTCTTGGGTGGGGGAGGAGTGGGAGGAGTCAATACAAAACAGCATAATAAATGCTATATTAGAAACATTTACCTATTGAGACACTCTCCCCTCTCTCAAGTTCTAGACACCGGGCTTTGTTCAATTCTTTGAACACGCTATGCTTCTCTCTATCCTAGACCTTCTTTCCTACATACTGGTCCTTTAGCTTGAAATGCTGCTACCACCACCATCCCTCACCTAATCATCTAGACTGGCTCCCACCAGACCTTTAAGTAACTTCCTTAAGAAGGTGTCCCTGACTACTTCCCTTGTCCATCCTCAGAGGAGTGAACAGAGATTCCCATTTGGACAGATAAAAATCCCTGAGATCTGGGAGGGGTGTGGAGACTAGGAATGCTCTCCAGGTTATTTAATACTCAGTCAGTTTTGGAAGCCGCAGCCCTAGATTCTAGGTTGATTTCCTTACTATAAGCCCTCATAACACTGCGTCTCTTACCTTTTACAGAGTTCATCTCACTTATAATCATTTAACACATCTTTCCTGCTAAACAATCTATTTCTCTGCACTCTCCTCAGGACTTAACATTTAGTATATATTCAAATATTAATTGAATTGAATTGAATTGGACTATCTTCCCCCAGCAATTCTCTTTCCAAAGGTCTGATTAAAGGCAAGGGTTTTCAAATTTATTTGACAATAATATACAATCCTTTGTTCAAAGAAAAGCTTAATGAGAACCTCAATATGTAAAACAGGTAACAGATCTGATTTGGTAGAAGAGGCCAAGCCAGTTGGGCCTTCAGGCTATTTATCCTCCTTCCATCTATTCTAAGGGATCCATGGAACAAAGATTAAAACCCTTTGGTTTGGAGTACATAAAAATATCATAGAAGCTTATGAAGTTAATTAGTTTGGCTGCTGTCAGCAATCAAAGATGCCAAGGAGATTGTTCTCCCTTCATTCCTCATCAGCTAGCTGAATAATGATTAAGTTGGAGATCAGATTTTATTTATCACATC